GTCACGCAGTCCCGTATTTCTAGATACAGAAATGTGAAGTTCAGACAGAATGAAACCGAGGAGGGTGGGTGGCTGTGGGCCCTGAAACTAAGGAAAGAATCAAACAAGATCAGGAGTTCACCTTCTGAGGCCTCCCCCTAAATGTCCTTTTGACAGAGATTAAAGGGACCAACGTGACCCAAGTTCAGAGACGTTAGACCAAAGACTTTGCGGGCCTAGGAGCACAAAGAGAACTCCACCAGGGGCGGAGTGATTTTGCTTTCTGGGTGAACTTCAGATATTTGAGTTTCATAATCAATGACTTTCCCTGCGATGTTAAAAAATCCAAAGATCAACCAACTGACTTTAAAAAAAAATTCACCACACTAAACAAGTGGTACGAAAATAATAAACAAAATGGACTTAATGAGTACGTTTGCTCTATAAAAACAAGTTAAGCATGCCACATGAATTGCCCCAAATTCCACTCTTTAAAATCACTTGACTTGGTACTATACACATTCTATTCCGCCTAGAAATGTCTTGCACAGGAAACTATTTTTCTTGTTTAGAATGGTGGCAAAAATGAAAAGCCATAGAAGAACTTAGATACACAAGTATAGCTGCTGGTTGAATGAATGGGTCCAACGTGACATTGTACACCAGTAAACAGCTTGGCTGGACAAACAGGCAGCTGCACAACGCAAGTTCTGTGGAAGGAATCGGGAAGCTGACTGACATCCGCACGCAACACTCCATTTGTATTACAGGATCTGAAGGTAACCAGACACACTGCACTCCCTGGGCTCTTGGTCTCACTTTACACAAGGACCCAAGTGAACTCTTTTGTAAAACTGCAGTCAACAACTGCCCTTTAAGGTTTAGAATAGATTTAAAAAGCCAGAGAGGGAAGGGATCAATTCTCTTTAAAAAAGAGGTTTCAAAGAAATGAAATATGGGAGGCAGTTAAAAAGTTACTTTTGACAATCATTTGTGAAATCACTTTCTCAGAAACAAAAGTCTTTGGAAAGACTGGCACCCAGCAGTTGAAAGTAAACAGTCTCTCTGCTGGTTGACAAAGAATCATGAGAAGGCTTGAGGTGGGCAGAAGGATAATGTCTAAACCATGAGTAAAGACAGAGGAAGGCAGGCAAGGTTGAGCTGTTGTGCCTTTTGGGAAGGAAGCAAGGAGCAGTCATCTGAGGTCCGGGCTTTCTCATTTGCCCCAGAAGACAACATGGCATGACAAATGCCCACCGGAAGAGGAGTACACAACCCCCTGATGCTCAGATCCAAGCGTGAAAGGAGGAGCCAACGGCAGGTGTCCTGGTCAGGCATCCCAGGCCTTGATAACCAGGGCCCGGAGCCCAGGTGAAGAAAGCATCGAACTGCAGTTAACGGCCAGCCCCTGGTTCAGCTGGAACTTGTGACGGCTGATGTAGAGGAAAGAAGGCTGGACTGAAGGCTTGCCTAGCAGAGCCAATGGGACATGGGCAGGCCCCTGCAGGACCACCAGCCTCAGTTGTCTCCCCTACGCCAACTAAGCAAAGGAATTGCTGAGGTCCTTTTCAACTCCGCCATTCGACCCAGCAGAGAAACAGCACGTGGCCCTAGGCATCGTATTTCTTTTACCTTTCCTTCCCCCAAATAACCTTATATTACTTATCGTGTCGAGAAATGGGTGTGTGGCACTCTTTAACAAAGTGATTGTTTGGAAAGGGCACATCCCAGGGTAGAAGTGCATGCACACGTGTGCACACATGGATAAGTCAGTCAGTCTTATCTCAGTCTCAGTGACAGTGGCCAGATTTGCAGGCAGAGGTATTGGGAGAATGTAATCAACACTTTCCGGTGATTGAAATCCCTCCCTGGGATGTTTTAAATAAGTAGTGCTTGGAAGGTTTCGAGATTTCTCTGTTTCTCTGCGGTTCTCTGATTCTTTGTCTCTGCCCCCCTCTGACTGTGTGTCTCTCTCACTATCACACACACACACACACACACACACACACACACACACACACAACCTAGGAAGAATATATGATAAAACCTGATTACAAAAAGATTTCATGATTTCCCTCAATTGAAGTTTTTCTTAGAGAAGCAGGCTATGTATCGGAGGTTTAAAATACTCATTCCACTCTAACATTGTATTTTTGAAGAAGAACAGGTGATGGGAAACATAGGCCCAATGTTTACGGAGGGAAAGCGACAGGAAGGCGGGATCACACGATTTTCTCACCGCTCTGTCCTGCCCCAACCTCCAGGCATCTGTGCCCGCTGCACATTTGGTGAGTTGCATAAAAAAGGACATACTGACACTACTTATCAATTCAGAAAAAAAGGTGCTGCCGAGATAAAATAGTTAAAGAGTTATGACCATGGAAGGACTTATTTTTGTAGCAGAACAGTGAGAGCCAATTCTATTGGCTCTTGAGTTTAAAATTTAATTTTAAGTAAGGGAAAGCTAAAAGATTCTCTGAAGGATTACAGAAACATAGAAAGATCTTGCATCATAATTCTTTCTTTCTAAGAAAAAAGGCTAGAAATTCTCATTTCACAAGGTCAATGACTAATTCTTCACAGTATTGAAAAATATATGTATTTTTCTATAATGTATTATAATTGAAGTAGGTGAAAATATTCCAAAATTCACGTCAACTAGTTTGAAGTATGTGGCAAAAACTGCGAAGCATTTTTTAATCTACATTTCCTATTCTTACTGAGAAACAAAGCCCCTAACTTTTAGATGGGCCGATGGCCCCCACAGTGAAGACTATAATTCTGAACTTTCCTTGCAGCTAAATTTGAGGTGGAACAAATTTGTGCTAATGAGATATAAACAAAAATAGTGTGTGCAACTTCTGAGACATGGCCTTAAATGAAAGAAGGGCCCTTCTGTGACCTTTTTCTCCTTTTTGCCTGGAATACAAAAGCAACGGCTGGAACTTTGGCAGCCATGTTGACTCGTTATGACTTTGGGAATGTCAGGACACAACGAAGCAACTAGAGGGAGGGAGCCTGGGTCCCTGTCTCCAGGGAGCCCAAGTTCAGCTCTTTACTGACTATCTCCAGAATTTTGAAATATGAAGAGATAGAGACCTCTCTATCTTATTTAAACCACTGCCATTTCTCTCTCTTTCTCTTCCTTCCTCCCTCCCTCCCTTCCTTCCTTCCTTCCTTCCTTCCTTCCTTCCTTCCTTCCTTCCTTCCTTCCTTCCTTCCTTCCTTCTTTCTTTCATCAGTTTTATCCATCTATTAAAAATGACATTTTTTTCTTAGCCCACTATAAAGTTTTTTCAGGATGTAAAGAGAGATGCTACCCACAAACTGTACAATTTTTGAGAGTTCTGTTTTTTGGAGCACTCCTTCCAATAAGTGCATTCTAATATTTAAAATAGATCTGCTCTCTTCCTGCACTGCACCTTGTACCACTACACGAGCAGTATTTTTCTTTGTTAGTTCTCCTTTCCGGGCACAACACCCTTCAGCTGTGGGCCTGTTTATCATGAACATCTGCACAGGGTTTACAGCTACTGCCACAGACCTTCTATCCAGCAGAAATTACAGATGACTTCCATGGGAAGGAAGTGTGAAAAAAATACAGATATTCAAAGTTTCTAAGTTTAAAAAGATCAGTTATTTGTATTTTTCTTACTTAATTAAGTGATCCTTTGAAAACAGTTACTCCTACCTTGGGCTAAAATATCAAGTTAGAACATTTGAATTGTAATCAACTGTAAGGATTCGCCTAGTTACTCACTAAGGTAAATCAGAAATGATAAATTAGTGTTTGCTTTAAGAAGTAATTAGCCAGAATATTCATTTCATAGTGAGTCCATATTTTAGGATACTATAATTTTTTACATTAGGTCTGAAATGAAGATGTGTTAATTCTTGGCAAGATTCCTTTCTAATTTGCAAAGGTTGAAAAGAGCAATTTTAGTCTCTATTTGATAATCAATCCAGCAGAGTCATGATAGTTTTCCTCAGCTTTGCAACCTACATTTTAGCTGATTCTAATGAAGACAAATTCCTCTCAATCATGAGTGTCCCGTTCATTAAGTGAGACAGATGGCAGCCTTGCTATATTTTGTTATATCCGGCCTCTTGAAGCTGTCTGCCTCCCCTATTTAGAAAATAGCAGGGCTTGTTTTTCTGAAGTAAAAAAAAAAAAGAAAGAAGTCAATATTTTGCTAGGGCAAGATGTCAAGTAATCTTCAAAACAAGTGAGCCAACAGCCTCTCAGATTTAGAGTGGTACGAACATATGCTTTTGTTTCAGGAACACGTATGCTCATATTGCATGGCAGGTGGAAGCCTGAGATACTTGGGGGCACGCTAACTTCTGAGTTTTTTCAAAAAGAGATGTTCGAGATTTCTCTGATGTAGACTATAACCCACCCCTTACCCCCTGGGAATTCTCTAGCCAACCTCTTCCCCTGTGACTCTCCTGCTTAACTTTTGCTTCTTTAAAACATGACTGGAAGCGGAAATAGATGTGAGGTAAACTGGAGAGCAGCCAGCTGCTTGTGGCTCCACACAGTGTCAGCGGGAGACACTTTAAGAAAAGACAGGGCATTGACACAAGATGGAAGACACGGCCTGGGGCACAGTTGGCCAAGGTTTATAAGACACGAAGCCAAGAAGGTTCAAAGAGCAAAGAAAACAGTTCTAATTTTTCCCTTCTGCACTCCAGCCAGTCCTAGGGGTTCCTGGGTAGTGCATGTCCTGTCTTCAGCTTTACCAGGACCACTTTGGAGGAGAGCATGTGAGTGTGAAGGTGCCTGTCTCAGGATGCTGAGAGGTTCTGACAAATGAGTACAGGCTAGGGGACGTGCTCATTTTCCCTTCCTATGACCACACGCACACTTCCATAGGATGAGAACATGGATGTAGGGAACGTGTCTTTGTTGAAAGCCCTGCCGCATGAGGTACAGTGTAGAGTGGATTCCCTGGAACACAGGCAAAAGCTGCAAGAACTGGAGACACTCATTCTGAAGGGAGCCTTGTGACATGTGCCAGTACTGGGTCAGAATCCCCCAGACCCAGGGGGGACCTGCGGTGTGTGACTGTACAATGCTACATTCTTTTCATTCTTTTGTCTTAAGTAAGCAGGACCTCTAAGGAGTAGCCTGGATGAGGAGAGGTGTTGGGGAGAAAAGAGGACCAGAGAGGGGGAGGGAGGTCTACCTAACTTGTTTCTGATGAGTGGCAAATGATTTGGAAGTTCAGAATTACCATTATGGATTCCTGAAATTGGGGATCGAAACAGTTATAACTTAATTATTCAAGTTATATTAAGTATTAAAGACCAAAATACACACACCATCTTAAGCACTGCCTGTGTTGAATTTCCATAGAAAACTCACAAATGGAAGGATTCCTTTTCCAGTCTCCTGCCTGCACTTAGACAGGCTCTATGACTCCCCGGTGCATCTTAGAGGAATGTGCAAGTTTACAGGAAGACAGAACAGCAACAACATTTGTATGGCACTAGTTCGTGAAATGAGAACTAGGTCTTGTTTGTGGGTGGAGGGCATAATAAAATAACAGCGTAGGATATTTAAGTATTAATTTTATTCTTCTGACTGATTTTTCTATGTTTTTGATGTTCTATTAGCTTTCTCCACAATAATAATATGTATTAATCTTGGAATTTGAATATCCAAGTTATTTTTTAATTAAGAAGTGCAATTTGTACTCTTTACTATTTCTAATCGCTCAGACATGGGCAAATTTTTCAAGCAACTTTGTAGAAGACCTGGAAGAGTTTGGCATTTCCATGGGCTTTGCACAGCACTTGGGCATGTAGCAAGACTCCAGACAGGGTCCAGCCTACCATTACGGCATTATGATAATGACTGCCTCTTCCGGTTGTGATCACTTCACAGTTTACAGGGTATTTCGTACATTCTCATCTAACAGTCACCTCAACCTTGGGAGGTAGGCATTATAGTGTCACTTTACAGATGAGGAAAGCTCCAGGGCTGAGGTGTCCCACGCTGCCCAAGCCCACAGCGGTGGACCTGGGACCCAAACCCCACTGTGTGTCTTCCAAGTTCTCTTTCCTTTGGCCATAGCTCTTGCTCCTCTGCAGACGTGCAGAACCCTGGACAAGCCCCCAAAGTTCCCTAGGCTTCAGCTTCCTCCACTGCACAGCGACGACCTAGATTGGACCATCTCTCAGGGCCCTGCTAGCTCCTCTTCACTTCGGATTGGAGGCTATCCAGTAGCATGAAAAGTGGAGGGATTCAATGGGAGTCAGTGGACTGCAGGGCCACTGTCCAGAGGCCTCCCCAAAGCCCACCGTGGTTGTCATGAACTTGGAGGGACCAGGAAAGAATTTGTTCCATAAGTTCTGATTCTTACGGAGTCTCATGAAATATATGGACTCCACAAAAAAGAAGAAAAAAGAAAACTCTACATACACAAAAATTTGCATACAGTTTTAGATGGCGTATAGACTGTCTTAGAAATATATAGGCCAGGTTAACAACTTCCGGATTAAATAGTGCACATATACCCCTTCCGGGGCCTACAGGAGGCCTCGTCTTAGTGTTCACACAAAGGGAGCAAAACTTATTTGGGCATGGAAAACAGTAGTTGAAAGACATGGATAGGAAAAAACTGGGGTGTACTTTCAACATATATTTTCCCTCATGGGAAATTATGTTTCTAATAACTAATTTCTCGGTTTGGGGGATGGGGTAGGAGAAAGAAAAGCTGGTGCAGAACAAATATAAGTATTTCCTTGAGAGGTATTTGTAGATAATTCCACACCATTTTAATGTTCCTTTTGACCATCTGCAGAGCATCATGGCTGATTACAGAGTTACGGTTGTGATTTCTGTCCCGAATGCCCACAGGCTGTCAGTGTGGGGCCTGCGCCAGTGTCAGGACTGGGATAAAAAGTGGAAAATGTGATCCTCAGAGATACTCATATTCCCTCCAAAGGGGGAAAGGTGTTTAACTATCATTTCACTCTTCCACACACCCATAACAAATATTTTTAGAACACAGGAAGAACAGGGTATCATGCAAAAATCTGAAATTTTCGATTGCCATAATATTATTCTGGGTTTGGGGAAGTCTAGAACAAAGGGGAACTTCATGCTTGTCTTGTGGTGTTGAAAAATAGGATCTACATTCAGTCTGAAAGCTGGATTCACTATTTGTACCCATTTTCATCTGCGACGGCATCTCACTTCCTGTCTGCCAACCCCGAGTAGCGTCTGCTAATGCCAAGTCCATCAGGCCTAGGACAACCGCGGCTGTCACCAGCCCTGACTTAACACCTCCACAACACAAACCGGCATTTCTCACAGAATTCTCTGTAGGTTTTCACAGCATTTTTTTTCATTTTGCATGCCTCATGTTAAATACTGTTAAAAAATTAAAAACCATTTTTTTTACAATTTACAAGTATTCATATAAGAAAAAAAGACTAAAAAAATACCCACCCAAGCACCTACAACTCATCTAGTGCACAATGCTAATAATACATAGGCCGTGACCGAAGAACTCCGTGATCGGTGGGAAAGCAGGGAAGCGCAGTCCATCCTCTGGGAGAAAGTGAGACATGATGCTGAGAGGAGCTGTCAACGGTGCTTTGCTTCCTAAGTCAAGTTCAGCAGCCGCATTTCAGAGTCAGTGTCATTACTTATTTCGACCTAAAACAGATAATAGGTATTGCTTTAAAGAACTTCAAAACTGACAATGAAATATCCTTTCTAATCATACAGCTGCTTCAAAATGCAAAACAGCTTTTGGGTTTGCCTTTACCATCTGCGTATAGGGCTGTAGCAACAAGGAAGCTAAAAAGCAGGGCTTCCTGCTTCTCAGAGCAGGGCGTGGCACACGGGTGTGAACTTCAGAATGGAGGACAGGTTTCTCGGGTTCAACATGCCAACCACACAGCAACTGAGGAGTGTTGTGAAGGTACTGCCTTTGGTTGCTGTGAGGTAAAGATGACAGAGTAGTATTATGTATCCAGTCCACTAAGATACAGCCTTAGCCTAATCTTCCTACAGCATCATGTTGGTTCGCTGCTCAAGAAACGTCCTGGTCTGGCTTTCCCACCACCTAACCATTGATCCCTACGTACATCCCATCCCGTGATGGTTCATTTTATGTGTCAGCTCGGCTGGACCACAGAACCCAGATATCTGGTCAAACACCAGTCTTGATGTCACTGTGAAGGTGTTTTGTTAGATACCATTAACTTTTAAATCAGTAGACTTTGAATAAAGCAGATTCCCACCATAACGCAAGTGGGTTTTATTCAATCAGTTGAAGGCCTTCAGAGCAAAAACTGAGGTCACTTGAAGAAGAAGAAATTCTGCCTTGGTACTCAGGACACCAGCACGAGCTCTTCTGTGGGTCTCTAGTCTGCTGACTTTCCGTGCTGGTTTCAGACTTGCCAGTCTCTGCAATCACTTTTTGTCTGTCTGTCTTCCTCCCTCCCTTTCTCTTTACACATCCTACAGGTTCAGTTTCTCTGAAACACACACTGTCAGCCCCAGTCATTCTTGTCCCCACACGTTTAACAAAGATCCTGTGCATATTCCTGACTTTGTACCAGGAAATAGCCTTTGCATGATACAAACTACAATGCTCTGTCAGCCACACAACTGGCACTTAATAAATATTTATTGAATACTTCTGCTCTTGCTTTTTCTCTCATGAGAAAAGTCTTAGCCAGTCTAAATCTTATTCATCTTTGAGGTTCAGTTGACATTTCTTCTCCTCTGTCAAGACTTTGGCTTTGACCTCAGCCGCTCTGCTTTCTCATCCTGCTCACAGCAACTCTTACCCAACAGCTGAACCCCATGTGGAGCTAATGGCATGCAGCTTCACCACTAATTGTGCTCTGATTGTTTCACTCAGGGAAGTCAACCTCCTCCCTCCCACTAAATTATGAGCCTCATACCTTCAGAGACTGTGTTTTACACTTATGCTATATCCCCACCTAGCAATTGTCTTCCATTAACTCAGTTCAACAACTCTCTCTCTGTGGCATAGAATGGACTTTTAGTCATAAATTGAAATAGTTGACAAAACGCTCAGCTTTCTAGTTTCACTTTTGGTAGTGTCTCTCCCTGTAAATTCTGTTCCGTCCTGCACACCTTAGGAGCTGGAGTCCTTCATTCTCTCCCTGTCTTCCTATCCATCTGCTCAAGCTTTTATTTCTCTATATTCTGGAAGATGTATCCCAATGTCCATCCCTTTCAGCTTGTTTTAGTTTAAAGAATTTTTTTTTTACCTTTTAAAAATTTTGCAATATATCTGCACCATCTTTTTAAAAATATTTTTATCACAATTGACATACAATATTACATTCGTTTTCGATACCCAGAGATTGGACATTATGTAACTTACCAAGTGGTCACCCTGATAAAACTAGTACCCATCAGACACCATACATAATTACAATATTATTGACTATATTCCCTATGTTGTACTTTATATCCCCATAACTATTCTGTACCTACCAACTTGTACTTAATTCCTTCACCTTTCCACCAACCCCCCCCTCCCATTTTCACCCGTCTCCTAATCCCCCTCCCCTCTGGCAACCACCATTAACAGGGATTTGAACTAAACAATAAAAAGATGAGATTAGGGTGGTGGAATTTTCGTACATTTATTCCACCATCTAGTTAGCAGGAAGATTCAAAATCCTTAACTTTACTTATCCATCCACCAGGCGAACCTCTTCTAGAATAAAGATAAGGCAGTAGGAGAAGGTATCTCTCTTTGTTACGTATAGTATTGGTGAAGGGTTGGAGGAACTTCTGGGTATCCATTGCTCTGTTTATAGCTCATATTTTCTGCCTTGGGGCTTTAGCAACATGGGTTGGTAAAGCAGTGAAGTAGATTGGGTGTGTTCCTATGATGCAAGGTAGGAATTCTGGAGTATACTCCAGGCATTGGGAAATACGCCTGCAAGGAGTTTCCCAAGAAGACAGTGAAGCAACTTTGAGAGAAGGCATTAAAATGAACCTATTGGCAATCCGGCCTTAGGTTTTAGTAACAGCTTGATATTTAAAAATCAAACATACATAGAAATAGAGAGAATAGTATTATGAATCCCTATGTACTCACCATCCAGCTTCAACTGAAATAAAAACTATGCTAATCAGGTTTCATTGATCTACAACTATTTTTTTGCTAGAGTATTTAAAAGCAAGTCCTAGACATTATATATCACTTCACTCATCAACACATCTCTGTGATTTTTCTAACCAGTGATTCTTAACCAGGGGACATTTACCATCTGGTTATCATCATTTGGCCAGGTGTGTGTGCGGGGGCATTTAGTGGGTAGAAGGCAACGATGCTGTTAAATATTCCCAAGTGCACAGGGCAGCCCCCGCTACAAAGAAAGATCGGGCCCAGAATTAACAGTGCAGAGTTTGAGAACTACTGCTCAAAGTACGAGAATTTTTTTTTCATTTATTACCCATTCATTAACATACCTCTCAAAATAGGCAACAATTTCTTAATTGCCTTTACTATCTAGTCCATATTTACATTTCTCCAGTTGTCTAAAGACATCTCACTAGTCGGCTTGTTGAAATCAGAGTCCAAACAAGGTGTACATATTGTGTGTGACTAATACATCTCTCAAATCTCTTTTGATCAGTGACGCTCCCCTTCTCTCATTTCCACCTGTGCTCCACTAGTTCCCACGCTCTAGGTTGGGCTGATCACTTCTCTGTGGTGAGATTTAACATACCCTGTTATTCTTATCTCTTCTACACTTCCAGTTCAAGGTCAGGCTTGACTCTGTGGCATGATACTTCATAGGTGGTCCTGTGTCTTCTTCTTGCACCCCATCCAGAGACACATAATATCTAGTTGATACTCTTTTAGTGATGTTTTGATTGATCAGTGAGTCTGAATAGAAGAGTCTGAGTTTGGGGATCCTTCAGACCACTTTTTTCAGGTTTTTCTCTTTTTGCAGATATTTGTAGATATGTTGGCGGTTACCTGAGGATTCCTACCCTGAAGGGAAAATTGATCTACTAATGAGACAGTTACGTTATTTCAAAGCACGTCTCTTGATAGGCCTGTCATTGTCTCTTTCTATGGCTTCTCCAAGTCTGTGTCACTTCTGATGTGTGTGTGTGTGTGTGTGTATGTGCTTTTCTCTGTGTTTTTTATGCTCCTTCTTATGTCTCGTTTCTTCCCAGAACCTGTCATAACATAGAGTATAAATATTTTTTGATGTGAATATAAAATTTAAAACTGTATATACAGCATAAAATTTGGTTTCTGTTCACTGCCTTAAGTTTTAACATCAAAGAATACTTTCCTTAGAAATGGGACAAAAGGAAGTTTTTACTTATGCTGATGCCTTGTTTTTGGGGGGTGCTCTCGATCACCATTTCACTACACATATCTCGTTGACATCCATGACAAGTGCAAGAAGAGAATTCTGGAAAAGACAGGAACCACCGCTTCTCTGGAGAGGCCCATTCGGACCCAGGCTTTCTTGCTTTGGAAAAGGCCTTGTGGGCTTCGTGTGGCAGCATGAAAAACAGAGCAGATGGACAAGGCTCTGGGGGCAGTGTGTGAGGTGACATGTCAACTGAGGTCTCCGTGTGCCATGACCACTGGTCATGGCAGACCCTCTCGCATGTGGCCGGCTGCACTACTGGAGGCATCATTCCTTCCTAGGAAGGACTGTGGTGCCTGACCCAACTACTGGTACAGTCATGAGACTGAACTTCATGAGCCGTATACACACAGCCATTTCATTGCTACTTAGTCAATGGCTACACTTTGGGGTACGTTTTTTCATAGTCCCTAAAATGGTATAATCATTTCCTATGATGGATCAAAAGTTACTAATACCAGTGACAAAGGGAAAGTACTCCACAGCTAGGCAAAGCTGGGGCCCTAAGAGCTGCCCCCCTTTGTGATAAGTAAGGCCACATGCAAGTAGGCCCCTCTCCCTTTGGGATAACCAAGAGGGAGCAGAGTGCATTCCAGTCCTAGCGCTCTGCACCCTTGAGACAGCCCGGAGAGTTAATGTCCCATAAGTGCCTGCCATTTCCAGGGACTGAAGCAAGCCCCCAGGCAACAGAACTCCATTCTCAGTGCAGGAAAAAGTGAGCCAGTTGGGCTGTGAGCAGAATACAGACACCTTACTCTGCATGTGACAGGGGACAGACAGCACTGGTAAATAAATGTGGAAGTGTGAAAGCCAGTCAAGACAAACAGACACAGGGTAAAGACAGTGACCTATCATTTTGTTAGTGTTTAGGCGTTTGGTCAAGAACCAGAGGCACGATGGGGCAGATGCAGACGGCAGGCTCCTCCAGCTGGGGTGCGCTGATACATCGCTGGTGGTTCCTGGTGTTTAAATCAGGGCTGGAAAGCACATTGTTCTCACCTCCTTGCCTCCTACACACACGCGTGCACAACAACCCTGATTTGTCCTTCTCGTTTTTACTCCAGATGCTGTAAATGCAAAATGGCCTGACACCAAACTACAGGGACCCTGCGACAAAACAGCTGTTCTTAGGAAAGAGCAGATGGACAGGGCGACCTCCGGCTCTGCCTAGCAGCTGGCCATCAGAGGTGGATTTCCTCTGGGCCTGGACTATTGGAGCGGAGGACAGGAGTGAAGGTCCACGTGGGAGCTGACTGCAGAGCTGCCTAGAAGGAGAGCGAGCCCCTCGTGCCTCCCAGTGCTTAGATGCAGCAGAGGGCCCCCAACCTCCGAGCCACAGACCCTTACTGGTCCAGACCTAATTGGAACTGGGACGCACAGCAGGAGGTGAGCTTGAATGTCATGCCTTTGAATCATCCCGAAATCATCCTTCATCCCCTGGTTCATGGAAAAATTGTCTTCCATGATATCTGTCCCTGGTGCCAAAAAGGTTGAGGACCACTCAAACCCTGCAATGGCAGAGACTGAACTCAGCAGCGGCCACAGAACATGGAACATTAGTTGTTTTTTTTTGTAGAGAAAAATTAGCCTCTAGCAAAGGTAATCAGACAAGTCCAGATACCAGAAAAAAAGTCAAGTGGTCATTTGGAAACCTTAGCACAAGATAGGCTAACAGTGGCGGGAGAAGCTTTTTCCATCAGCTCTTTCTGCATGGCAGTCAGGCACTGTCCTCATGGACATTTCCAGCACCACCAGGTCTCTTTGCCTCTACTGGGGAACTCAGTTCCGAAATTCCACGGCTGTCTTTCTTTGATAAACTGCCTTGGTCTAATTATTTCTAGGTGAAGAATCACTGGTATATGAAGCGTAGTTTTCCCACTACCCAGTCGCTACCCAGTTTGCTGATTTTGACAAACTCTAAGTAATTTAGCTGCTCACAATGATGCTCCCTGCTGTTCTGCATCTCTTTCAGAGCTGCATGGGTTTGAACCAAGCTATTGTTCTTCCTGGGAGGTAAATCTGTTTTTGTCAGTCCTCCCCCACTACCGCCTCCCCCATGCAGCAAATGGAGGAGACCCTGGTGAAGACTCATGTTGTAGCTGTGTTGAGAGTTCCAGCCTGTTGCTGAAGGTGGTGGCAAGGGGATGGCCCCTGGCACAGGCTACCCCTGACCTGGGTGTCACATATCCCCACGCCAGCCCCAGAAGACAGTCCCTGAAAGCATCTCTATAGCTTTGACACTGTCCAACCTTTTGGCATCTCTGGGCTGCCCTGGAAGAAGAGTGGTCTTGGGTCACACATCAAATACATTGCAACATGTAATCATAAAGAAATCGAATAACAGTTTAGGTAAATTTACAAGTTCGTGTTGGGCCACATTCACAGCCATCCTGGGCCGCATGCATCCCCGGGCGGCATGCATCCCCTGGCCGAGACACCCCTGGGCCTTTAGACGGAGGAGCAATGGCTGCTGAGGAGCTCTGGGCCTCCCCACCCAGAGCCTTCGAGATTCCTGTGCTGCTTAAACACCCGCTTCCTCATAGGTTTGCTCAGTTCATGGGAGATCTATGGCAAACCTTAGATTGGATAGTCACAGATTTCAACTTTATCCTCTGCGGAAGGCTAAGGAGATTAGCCTCTGTGCAGAAGACACGCATTTTCTTCTGCTTTTGATAAACTCCTCATCGTCTTTCCAAAGACAGTGCAGCTATCTTCTCCCAGTAAAGCCTTCTCTCCTGGAGTGAGAAGTCCATATTCCCTCTTCTGCAAAAGATTGCGGTGGGGATGTTTTTTTGTATCTACATATTCTGCGTAGGTCTCTACTTCTAGGTCATTGGCTACTGGAGGTCAAAGCTCAAGTATTATTCATTTTTATGTCGGCAGCACCCAGCTCAGGGTCTAATATGCACCTTATAAACAATCAATAAATAGTCGTAAATGGAACTAAATCAATTTATTTAATCGGTTGTCCTTGATAGGTTGATATCATTACTGTAAAGAGAGAGAAAGCATGAAAGACTAATTTCATATTCGAACTGCCTTTCTCCTATCATATCGCCCACCCCTGTATACACACTCTGACTGTGGGCCCTGGGAGGACACTTCATGGCTATGAGCAATGACACAGTCAAACACAAGAACGGAGACGTCCCGCACTGTCTGGACCTACCCACGGAGCACTGAAAGCTACCCATCCACACTCACATGCCTGGGAATATGCTAAACATTCTCCTTATCCCCTTAATAAAAGTGGCTTTGTCTTCCATGGAGATTACAGACTTAAAGAAAGTTACAAACCAGAGTTCACTACGCTCCCTAACAATCGAGTGCAGAGGACTGGCTTTTTCTCCATCTGTTGCTGGGTGGTGATATGACACCACTGAACTGGGTGCAACAGAATTCAACATAAAGGCCTTGTTAAAAGAAGTCAAGCAGCTGAGTGATGCCAACTGGATAAACTGGGCAATATTTGCATACCTGTGGGGAACACACATACTGACCTCTGAAATTGTTTCATGCACCATGATTTTTAATTCAGGTTTAGTTTGATCTTTCAGATTTCTGCTCCCTTCATGGTTGAAAGGCATTCCATATTCATCTGACATAATAATATGCATAATCTGTCAAAGCATAAACTTGTTCCATTATTTTATGCAGCCTGTAGTTTATGCTCCATTCAGCTAAAAAGTGTGAGGGTTAGCAGTGAACTGGGTGGTTGAAAAAACCATCCAAGGAGGTAGTGGAGTCGATCAAAGCCTTTTAGGTCATCTTAACAGGCTATTTTATGTGTTCCCGATGCACAGAGATGGAAGGGACCTTAGGAAACATAGATGGAGGTCACTTGCCTCTGGGCCATGACAGAGAACGCTCTTTGAGCTACATGGATGCACATCTGTCATTCAAGAAAGGAGATTCTGTATCAACACTAATCAGTTGCAGTTTTTAATAATCTTCCTTAAAAGAAAGATCAAATTATATCTGACCAACATTTTTTCATATTGCGGTTTGTCTGCTGAGTTATTTTTTCACAGCGGAGATGAAAGAAATCATTCATCACCTTCTTACTGCATAACAAGTAGGTACAAGACGCTCCTCATCACCACCAGGCATTGTTTCAGTTCGGTTCTCCCTTCCAATGCACTGACCATCTTTATTATTGTCTCAGTCCTGGCCAAGTTCCCCAGATCCACAAACATCAGCCTTTGGAGTACGCCCTTTACCATCACGTGGTAGCATGAACAACGAGGTGGTGACTGCTTAGTCCCAGAGTGTTATGCAGGGTGAATATTTTTCCAAATTGAATTTGCTTTTAAAAACCCAACATTTATTTCAACATCTATCATGTGACAAGTACAGTGCTGATTTATGGGATATGTTTCCTTCAGGTCGTTCTGCCAGAAGAAAATGAATTCAACCTGGAGAGGCGGAGGAGGCTTCGCGGGGCTGCAGTCCCCCAAAAGACAGCTGAGGGCTGCGGACTTGGGAAAAACCACCACGGCAAAGAGGCAGCACATGAAGACTTCCACATTGTTTCTTACACCGGGGACTCTTTTACAAACTTTCCTCTATTGCCATGGAATTATGGAACTTTGGGCTGACATAATCAGAAGGTCACCAGAGCAAGCCCACAACATCAGGCTTGGTGAGAGCTCACTACCATCCAGGAGAGATTTCAGTTCCTCCACTTACTACTGATGAGACTTTGGGAAAGTTATCTAACGTCTATGAACCTCAGTTTCCTTCCTTGTGAAGCAGGGATACTCATTAGTGCATGCTAGTACTTCCATGAGGATTATGTGAGATAACATGTGCAAAGGGTTAACACATGGTAGCTATTATTTTACACAGTTGTCTATTTGCTATGTAGCATTTTCTAGGAGTGGAGTCACTGTAACTATTTCCTTGTTTTCTAGCATTTTATCAAGCAGGTGACTATGGTTTTCTTCCTTATACTCAACTGAAATTAGCCCAGTTTGAGGAGGCTTTTGTTGTAGCTGTTGACTTCCTTCCATGTCCTCTAGCAAGGGTTAGTCCAATATTTGAGTACTGGACACAATCAGAGGGAGTTTTCCATGTGTATACATGCTTTATCCCATATGATCCATCCTCTGTCTGCTTACGAAACAGTTCTCCCTCAGTGCACCTATGTGACCTGGCTAGAGTCTCATGTTGCCTCAACTCTGTTTATCTCTGAGAGTTTGGCCTGTGGTTAATAGGTCCCTCCCCAGAAAGAGTCAGTTAACACCAGCTTAGACCAAGATGGCCATGGATTTGGCCTTCCAGAAGACCTCAAACCTCTTTATAATCTATTATTAAATGGCACACCCACCAGCACCAGGACAGTTGACCATCACTATGATGACAACTGGAGGGGACCATAGAAGGACACACACACACACACTCAAAAGGCATGACCCTGGTTCCGAGAGGACTGCCACCCATCCCCCCTTATCTGCCTAGACCACCCCTTTGTTTCTGTCCTCCTATACCCACAGCTTCTAGTCCCAAACCCATGAGAGGTTGATCTGAGAGCTACTCATCTGCTGCTTCTCCATTCTCTGGCCATTGAGTCACTAAAGCAAGCTCGTGCTATTGATGCTCACTTTTGGTTTTGTATTGGCTTTGCAACACTTAATGGAGAAAGAACCTCCTTGGGGTCCCAGGAAGGGGGATTTTGCCTCTTGGGTAACAAAACCACATTACAGGTGAGAGAACCAAGGCTCAGAGACAACAAGGAAGGCCCCTGAGACCACACATATGGAGCCTGGACTCTAACCTGATCCTTCTCCCTTTTCCCTCAGCCATGCTGCTCCCAAGATACATATTCTGTCTCTTTCTGGTAGACTAAATAATTCCTTATGTTCCTAATTGGCAATCAGGTACTGATAAAAAAAATATATCATTTTAGAAACATAAATTATGTTACCCCATTTCAAATACTTTTTAGAATGTATAATAATGGTGATGTTGGGTTACAGGTGAAAGGTGTGTTTTAAATATGAGTGGAAAATTAAACCAATGATTAGTAGTAGCAGGTCGGTTTGTTTTCGTTAGTTTTGACCAAGTTAGAAGGATTAATGTTTTCCATCTCATGACACCTTTACTTACAGGTTAACTGGCTTTAACTCAACATGATCCTGGTAGTAGGAGTGCGCGTCAAGTCCGCCTATGAAATCAACTGGAAATATAACAGCCCAATATAAATAAATGTGTAGGTAAAACACACATCACAGTAGGTGTTTAAAATAGAACACATACAAATAATACGAACAAAAATGTCTGTCTATCACAAAATGGAAAAACACGTGTTTACTATAAAGGACAGCTCAAAATATTATTGATGGTCGAAAATAGGGAAATTTTCAGAAATACAAAGAAGTTGGCATCTTAGGGACTAAAAAAATCACAGTTGTTATTGGTTTTAGTGAAAAATGAAGTCACATTAAATAACATCAGATTTAAAATAATGGGTTTGTCCTTAGGCATACAGCTATGCACTTTTCTTCCATATATCAAAAGATATATCTTTTGATTTTATTGCCAGGATCCATTTTTATTCTTAAGAATATTTATTGCATCATTAGAAAGACCTTTGAGAAGTCACATAATCTATGTCCGTGCTCTCTGTCCCCAGACCATCCCTGACAAATAGGTGTCTGCCTTTTGCAAAGAAGGTTTCATCTCCTCTCTGGTAGCACCGCACTTGTCTCACAGCCTGTGCAGAAGCACTGTTCTGGGTGATATTCATTCTAAGTTTTTCCTGTTTTGATCACAGCCTCTGTCCTTCTTTTCCAATCCCAATGTCCAAGGCTAATCTTAGTTCATTTTCTCTGTTTTGGGGGGCCCATTAAAATATTAATTACCTTACATGAAGCTTCAGTTTTATTATGGCACTTTAACAGCAGGTACATAGGCCTACAGGGACACTGTACTCATGTGTGTATGTAGGTTCACAGTATGAGAAGAATATTATATCCTCAGCTCAACACAGGCGTTTCAGTGAACATTGATTTAGAGAAGAGATGACTTAGCCTAGAAGCTCAATTCCATGATCCACTTAAGCTCTAGCCGCTCTTATCAATCCCTGACCTGCTCTCTCCTCTGCATCTGCTGGAGAAGCAGAGGTAAGACCTGGTCAATCAAAGCTTTACCGGATCACTGTGTGGACAGAAGCCTTGGAGTACTATAAGGTACCTAACAACCAGGCTGAAAGAACCATCTCCAGATCATTGCACTGGAGACCAGAGAAACCTGAAGCTGATCTTTTCCCTACCAGTACTGGACACTGCCCTGGGAGAGAAGCAGTGGGAGGGGAGTCAGCCCAGGGGGTTGAAAAGATTTTCCAGGGGGAGAGTAAGCAGTGTGTAAAGGGGCCACTTAAAGGGCCAGATTAGACCACCTTTGTTTTTATTATTTTTATTTTCTATCAGATTAGATATTTAATCAAACATTTACTCCTTCGCTCTGCTGACCAATGGGTGAGAATTTACAAGGAAGATAACACTGACTAAAAGTTGAATGAGTGTATCATTGACAGAGACATGTTCACAAGTTAAAGGAGGTATTAAAAATAAACACTTTTATAAATATGTAAATTTGTGAATAAGATGGTTGAACTAAAAATTATATACAAAATAAGATTATAAAAATAAAGGGAGCATATATATGTTTGCTTTAAGCCAAAATAAAAACATTTTTATTGAGGATTTGAACATTAAAATGCAACATTAACAAAATCATTACTTTGGGTACAGATTCATGTAGCTGTTGAGTCTGCTCCTTAGCCATCTATGTCTCTCATCCACCATATCACCGGTATTTTTAGGGGAGAATGGATATATACATAATATATTTGTCAATATGGTTTATTTTCATAAATTTATTTACAATATTATTCAAAATTTATTTTTATGATTATTAAAATTAAAATTATCGATACCTTAATTAACTGTAAGTCATAGTACCTTTAATTGTGGAAATATTTTCCAAATAAATCAACACAAACTAAGTTTGCTAAAGAATGGAGACCATATATATATGGTTTGTCCAGAAGGTATCCAGCCATGCAATATAAAAAATAAAGACATTTATTGAAGAAGATACAAGAGACATTGTACAGAAGGCAATGACACTTTACTCTCCTTCAAAGTAGGCACCTTGGGACCTCACAGAGGACCCCGATTGCCATTAACTGCTCGTCATATTTTCCTGAATCTCATCCATGGTCTAAAATCTCTTCCCTTTCGAAGCTTATTTTAATTTTGGGAAAAGCCAGAAGTCACGAGGCACCAAATCTGGGCTGTAGGGGGACTGAGTCACCTGAGGTGATTTGATGTTTCACCAAAAGACTTTGCATAAGATGTGAGGCATGAGTAGGAGAGTTATCCTGATGAAGCTGCCAATCACCAGTTGCCCAAAGCTCTGGCTTTCTGAATCATCCAAATAGTTTCCGTGGAGGAATGTTCAAGCTTAATGCGAAATTCGATGCAGATTCATTGCTCTACTCACTCAGTCATTTTTAATGTGATGGCCACAAGTACACAGGCTCACTCAATGGTGTCTCCCGCTCCCACTGGCCAGTACAGTGAAGTCATCCAACCATTCTTGTTATATTAACAATGGCTGGACTTTTTTCAGAAAGATCTCATATTATACATATGAGTTTAGCCCAAAGACTTTCCCAGGCACTGTTACTTTACTTCCTTTAGTGTATCTTTCTTTGCCAAAAATTTTATGAGAAAAAAACATAAATTATATCTATTTATTATTCTTTTCTCCAAATATAGCTGCAAAATTTTTAGACCTTATCACAAATCAGTTTTTTTCTATTCTGATGCAAGATAGAATCTTTTCTTGAGTCAAGATAACCATTTCAAAGAGAAATTATAAAATTGCGAATGGAATCTTGTGTAACATTTGAGTTCTCATTATTTCATGTGTCCAGTTCTCCTGCTGTCATGAGCATGAATTTGTAGGTCCTCCTTCTCCTAAGCTTTCAATTACTGCCATTTACTAAAAGCTGCAAAAGATGATTTTGAGGATGCTTCATTAGTTGAATAATTCAGTTTAAATTTTTCAACTGATCTCGAATACCAAGCAACTAATATAGAGAAGTCTCACTTAGAAAAGTGCTCACAGCTATTGTCAGAAACTCAGATTAATTTACCAACTACTTCTTTAAGGCTGAAGTGTTCCCAACTCTGACTGAAGCAGAGAAGCAGGGAGAGAAAGTGCACTTTCTCATCCTGAAGGCCTTTTTGTTTGTTTTCAACACCACCCTCATTACAAAAGTATTCCCAGGGCAATGCAAATCAAAACCGCAGTGAAGCTCGACCTTATCTCCACTAAGCCAGGTTTCAAAAAACAAAAACCGGATAATAACAATTGTTGGTGAAGAAGTGGAGAAGTTGGAACCTCATGCGCTGCTGGCGGGAATGAAGATGGAGCAGCAACTTTGGAACAGAGGCAGTGCCTCTGGTTAAACACGGTGCTACGGCAGGACCCAGTCATTTCACTCCTAGTGTTTACCCAATAGACGTGAAAACATGTGTCCACACAAAAACTGGTTCACAGCGTTTACAGCAGCACTATTCAGAATAGCCAAAAGGTGAAAAAATTCCAGTTTATTTTTATTTTACCTTAACATGCATGCCTGTATAGATAGATATAGATCTTGAAAACTTGAGTTTCTATTTTCATTGTTCTAATAGTGCATGCAGCTTTATTGGGAAGCAATTATAAATGACCTGTGCACCTGAGTTCCAGATGCATTTTTTGCTTCACAAATTCTTAATTTAATAAGAATTCTATGTTTTTTAAACCCACAATACCGTGCTTCACTAAAATTTGTAATAGGAGCACAAAAATAAATGATTTTATCTTTAGTATTCACTTTTTAACTGAATTAGCACACCATTTAAAGTAAAATTAGAAGTGTTAGCCTAGACAGAATGAATATCACAAAGTTTTACTTCGATTCTATGAATTGGATTAAAAAATCAATCCATATTTGGAAAGTTAATTGGTTTTCTGCTGCAAGCACCCAGTGAACTGGTGAAATATTGTGTTTACCGTTGGGATTTTAGCTCTGTGGGAAATTCTCTCCCACGGCTGGAGCAGCCCAGCGCCCTCCACTGACCCACATACCAGCCCTGGTCTGGGCCACCGGCTGCTGGTAGGGGCCCGACCTTCCAGCACTTCCCCCACCTCCACTGGACGCAGGAAAGTATCAGCCATCTCTGTCACCCTGTCCACGTCTCTACCTTTTTAATCCACTGACCTGCCCACTGTGCTTGAAAGGAAGATGCTAATTACATTGCTCACTTAAAGATTTGGGAAGAACAGGGTGGTGGTGTTGGTCTTCTCACAGATTTAACTATGTCCTGAAAAGAGAACTCTACTCATTGCATTAACATCTCACACACCTTGAAGAAACTAGTGCAGAAGGCTGAAGTGCTGTCGGTTTACCTGTCTTAGATCATCTGAATGTAACTATTAACAATAAAGCTTCATGAGTAAACTAAATAATCTAGCCCCAATCTAAACCAGGTCGGATGCCAGGGCAACGGGTGCAAATGGAGACTGGTTCCACCAAACCAGGACGGTGGTCGCCCCTGTGGACGGCACCGTGAATGAGCCACATCTTCTCTGCATGTCAGAATTCTAGTGTGATGCAAAATTTGCAAAAATCTAAAAACAAAACATTGCATATTGGTAAAAGTTACATTATCAAGCTTCTGGAAGCAGGTAAGACTATAAAAATATGCTTTTTTTAAAAGGAGGAATTAAGGAGCGATCATTGAAAAGTGGGCAATTAAGAAACTAAGAACATCAAGAACCTCTTGTGGAAGGGACACAACCATGTGGCTTTTTTGGCAACAGAAATCTCCAAGTCCATGAGATAATGATGTTTCAATATTTTTAAAAAGAGGTTTTTTAATGCATACGCGAACACTTCTCATTTTCCAGAGTGGGTAGACAAGTCAAATTGAGGGGGAAATTGAAGTGTAAATGGTGGGCAAGTTTACAGACTCTGAAAGCTTTTTTTAATGATGTCAAATGCTTTAAAAATATTGAAGACATTTTTTTAAAAAGATGACTTAACGAAACACTTCAAAACAACTCAGTAGGGAAGTCCTTCAGCTTTTAAGTTTGCAGAAAGGTAGTCATGGTTCACTG